GCCACATCCCTGACCCCAAAAAATAAATCAATGTTTGATGTATTTATACATGTAAGAAAGAAATCTGATGGGTAGCAGAGATGAGGGGGCGGGAGGAATATGAGTACATTCACTGTTATATTTATCTCCTTTTTGCTTTCCTAAAATGAACATGTACCGCTTTTGTAATAAAAACAAAACAAAACAAAACCGACATCAAGGACATCTTTCATTTTATTTTATTTTATTTTATTTTTGTGGTTCCAGGGATAGAAACCAGGACTTCAGACATGCAATCCAAGTGCTGTGCCACTGAAGGGGACCCCTGGCCCTGCCTTTCATTTGAAGAATCAAATAGGCCGGAGAGAAAATACCGTATAGGGCCTTGCCTGGCACGAGGTTGACCCAGACGCTTGCCTTGCACTGCAATGTGTAAAGTTTAAATTGAAGTTTTTCAGAGCTGGAGTGGTATATAGTGGGTAGCACTCTTGCCTTGCATGCAATTGACCTGGGTTCGAGTCCCAGAATCCCATATGGTCCCTTAAGCACTGCCAGGAGTAATCTCTGAGTGTAGAACCAAGATTAAGCCCTAAGCACTGCGAGGAGTCGTGCCAAAACCAAATAAATAAATTGCAGGTTTTCTTTCCATTTCTATGCATTTTCTTGAACCTGAAAAATTATTTTGGCTTTAGAAATGCCTTACCTTGAGGGGCTGGAGAAATAGTATAGTGGGGAGGGTGTTTGCTTGTCCATGGTTGACCCGGGTTTAATCCCCAGCATCTCATATGGTCCCCTGAGCACTGCCAGGAGTGATCCCTGAGTGCAGAGCCAGGAGTAAGCCCTGTGTAACCCCCACCCGCTAAAAAAAAAAAAAGAAATCACCAAAAAGGCTTTATATAGAACACTCTTTAAGTGAGTGCTGACTTATCTGCTCCCTCTCTCTGGCTCTCTATTTCTCCCCCAACTCCAACTCCCAGGGATCCCCAGCTTCCTGTGATCTGGTCCTATCTCATCCCTGACTTGGTTTTAAAGAAAACTGGGCAACTGCCACAGAGGCGGGGTGGGGTGGAGAGGACAGGGTGGGGGTGGTGGGAAGGATGCCGGGACCACTGGTGGTGTAAAATGGGCACTGGTGGAGGGATGGGTACTCGATCATTGTATGACTGAAAAGCAAGCAGAAAAGTTTGTAAGTCTGTACCTCACAGTGATTCACTAATAAAAATTATATATATATAAACAAATTTTTTAAAAAAGAAAACTGGGCAAGTGGTGAGAAATGAGAGATATCAAGTAAAGACTGGGGTAAGGGCAACCTGTCCCACCCTGAGTAAGATCTTATCAAATGGCACAAAAATAAGAGCAAAGGTTAAGAGACTCCTAGATTTAGCTTTTACAGAGCTGCATAGTGTTGCATTGCAATGGACAGCAACAAGGTACAGCAACAAGTTACTGGAGGGTACCATGCTGAGTGAAATCAGACAGAAGGAAAGGGATGGAGACAGAATGAACTCTCATCTGTGTGGTTTATAGATACACACACAGCAAGGGAACAACACAGGGTCAAAGGCAACATAATGGAAGAACTGAGCCACACAACTGACTTGGGGTTGAGAAGGTGGGATATTGGGGTTCTTGGGAGAGGGAGGTGGGCACACTGGTGATGGGTGTGGTGGAATTATGTGTGTGAGCACACATTAACAGTATTATAAATCACAGAATCTCAATTTTTAAAGAAGAGAAAGCCAGAGTAATAGTACCGTGAGTAAGGTGCTGTCTTGCACACAGCAGATCTGGCTTCGATCCCCCACATCCTGTATGATCCTTGAGCACCTCCAAGAGTGATCCTTGAGGGGCTGGAGCAATAGCACAGTGGGTAGGGTGTTTGCCTTGCACGCAGCTGAACTGGGTTCGATTACCAGCATCCCATATGGTCCTCTGAGCACTGCCAGGAGTAATTCCTGAGTGCAGAGCCAGGAGTAACCCCTATGCATCGCCAGGTGTTACCCAAAAAGAAAAAAAAACAGTGATTCTTGAGCAAAGAGCCAGGAAGTAAGTCCTATGCACTGCTGGGTACGGCCCCAAAACAAAAAAAATAAACAGAAAAAGAGAGACTCCTGGAGTAAGACAGTGGAGGAAAGGCAAAAAATAGTGCTTCTGGACTTCTCAGAAACCAGCCAGGAGAGGAAAAATGGCAGAAACTGGAGGAGGATAAAGTAGGTCAGCGAAGAAGACAGTCACCAGACAAGGTCCAGTGATGGACTGATCTGAATTGGTGCCAGTTCCACAGACACCAAGGACCCCCAGAAGCCTCCTGTGGACAATTGAGAGTACCCTTCATCTTTCCCACCCCCCATGCACGCATGCGTGCACACGCGCGCACACACACTTTGTCCCATGCAATTTTATGTATTTATTTATTGGCTTTTTGGGTCACACCCAGTGATACTCAAGGATTTCTCCTGGCTCTGCACTCAGGAATTATTTCTGGTGGTATTCTGGGGACAATGTGGAATGCTGGGGATAGAACTCGGGTCAGCTGTATGCAAGGCAAAAACCCTCCCTGCTGCACTATCACTCTGGCCCCACAATTGTTTTGTTTTGGGGCCACACCAGGTGATGCTCAGGGGCATGGTTTTGAACTCAGGGATCACTTCTGGAAGGCTTGGGGAACCCTATGAGGTGCTGGGGCTTGAACCTGGGTCTGGAACGTGCATGACTCTGCTGACTGTATCATTGCTCCAGGATACCCCATGGATTTATACTTGAAGGGACCCTGTGAGTTGGGCACTGAACTGAGGCTTTCCATTGCCTTGGCAGCAGGGATGAGCTAGGTGAGAGCTGTGAAATATTTTGAAAAAGGGATAGGATGCTTTCCTTGCACACAACTGAGCCTAGTTCAATCCCTGGCACTCCCATATGGTCCCCTAGTAAAGATCCAAGAATGATCCCTGAACACAGAACCAGAAGTCAGCCCTGAGCACAGCTGGGTGTGGTTCAAAAACAAATGACCAAACATGTCTATATTTGAAGGCTACAGGTGGTCCAGGGGGTAAGCCACCTTACACATGGCTGACCCCAGCCTGATCTCCAGCACTGTATAGGGTCTCTTGAGCACTTCCAAGTGAGATCCCTGAGCACAGAGTGAGGAGTGATCGCCTGAGCACTGCTGGGTCAGTCAAACAACCAAAAATGTCTAACATCAGGAAGGTCACACTGGAACATTGTAGGCTTGAAACAACTCTAAGAACTTTGTAAATCATGGTGCCTTTTTCTTTTTTTAAGGTTTTGGGTGATAAAAAAAAACCCTAGTGGTGTCAGGGCTTACTCCTGGTCCTGTGTTCAAGGATCACTCCTGCTGGTGCTCAGGGGACAGGGCCTCCTGTGTGCAAGGCAATCGCCCTACCCACTGGGCTATTACTCTGGCCCCTGACAGTTTCCTTAGTGCACCTGGTAACCCCGAGCCCTGAATGGAGGCTGAAGCAGCTCTCAGTAGACCCCTTCTCCTAGCAACGCCTCCATCTCGCCTGAAACTCCAGAATGTGACTGCCAACAGTCACCCAGCCTGAGGCTTTCAAACCTTTCATATTTTTGTGGAAAAATTAGCAGTAGGCACAGCAAACTATTTATAGGGCCTCTGAGTGTCCCATTCTAGGATCTGGGCAAAGATGAACAGGGTGTATATCATTAAATTATGACCAGAAGTGAGCAGAAAAGCCAGACCAATCAGGTTGCTTGTGCAGGAATGGGATAGTCATTAGTAAACAATTAGTAAAGGTCTATGTGGAGCTCAGAATGTTTTCATCAATGATTGAACCAAACATTACGTTAGCAAGTACTGTGCATGTCAGATGAGGAAGTTGTTCCATTCAATTGGTGTCTCCTGCATATTATATACATATTATATAATATATATAATTGTATATGCCCCCCAAATATATATATATATATGTATAGATGGCAAGAGTGATAGTACAGCAGGGAGGGCAGTTGCCTTGCATGTACCTTGATTAACCCAGGTTTGATCCCCGCATCCCATAGGGTGCCCCGAGCCCCCCAGGAGTAATTCCTAAGTGCGGATCCAGGAGGAAGCCAGAGCATCACTGGGTGTGCCCCACCCCCTCCAAACAACATATATATGTATGTGTGTGTGTGTATATATATATATATATATATATATATATATATATATGCTGTGTAAGTCTTGTTTGGGGTTCGACCCATGTTGGCGTTCAGAGAACATGAGGAGTGAATACTGGCTCTCCCGCTAATTGTTCAGTGTTGGCACCCGTTCCTTTTTTGTGTGCCACACCTAGGACTTACTTCTGGCTGTGCTAAGGGATCACTCCAGGTGGGTTTGGGGGATCTATGGAATGCTAGGAATCAAACTTGGATCAGCCACATGCAAGACAAGTACCCACCTTGCTGTCCTATGGCTTTGGCCCCTGATGCCACTCTTGGGTCAGATTTCTGTAACAATGTGAGCAAAGTGGGCTGCCTTGCTAGTATGTGAAGAATAGAAATACACACAGGTGACTCCAGGAACTGGGTCATAGGGGGGCGCCCATGTGCTGGCACGTGTTGGTGAGTCAGCAGGGTATCAGTTCTGTGGAACACAAGGACTGGTCACAGGAGAGGACCAGAGCGATAGCACAACAGGGAGGGCACTTGCCTTGGACATGGCTAACCCAGATTGATCCCCAGCATCCCATAGGATCCCCTGAACCTGCCAGGAGTGATTCCTGAGCACAGAGCCAGAGTAAGCCCCGAGCAGCAATAGATATGACTCCAAAATAACAAAGACAGTAATAAAAACCATCCCAGAAAATGTCTGATCTAGAAGGCGACGCCCCCCCCCCCCCCCCTCCATCCACTAGAGCACAGAGCAGCACACCCAGAGCCCTCTCTCCCTTCTCTGCCCTCCTTCCTTCCCGGCTGCCCACCCCCCACCCCTCCGCATCTCCTCACCGCTCCCCCCCCCCGTTTTCTCCTACATACATAAACACGCACACGTTACGTTTTGCAGACAATTGAGGCCTTTATTTTTGAAAATAATTCTGTAGCTTCACCTTTCTCCCGGGAACTGAGGTCAGGCAAGAAACCAGAATGCACCCGTTGCCTTGCGGAGCGGCCACCTGGACCCAATTTGGGCAGATGGGCAGACTGGACTGCAGGGGGGGGAGGGGAAGTGGGGGGAAGTGTTGGCCAGGGCAGGAGGCTGACCCAGGTGGGCACCTAACCTCTCTCCCACTGAGCCCGCAGGAAGCCCTCCCAGAACAATGGGACCAGGTGCAGAGACAAGTTTGTGTATCTGAGGCAGGAACAGGGGGAGATGTGGACAGGTGCCCCCACCCCTACACACACACACACACACACACACACACACACACACACACACACACACACACGGCGTCCCCCTTCTCGGAATCTCTCCTCCTCTCAAGCCAGATGAGAGGTTAAGCTTTTCCTTCCCTATACTTAACCTCTTTGAATTTCAAACTTCTGGGCTGTGAAGAAGGATGAGATGAGGTCAAGAATAATGTGGAAAAACATGGAAAGTAAACCCTGATGACCACCAGGCCCACAACACTTCTGAAACTCGGTCTGACTCACATGCAGCTTCTCAGGAATGCTGCCCCCCAGCCCCTCATTAGGGGGAAGCCTGGTGTGGGTGAGCGCTCAGACCCAGGCCCAGGGGCCTGGTGGCCACGAATTCAAGTGGCCAACCTCTCTGCAGCCGTCCCAAAGGAGACTTGGGGTTTGCACCCCGACCTGCTCAAGCACCTCCTGGACCACACGGTGGTCTCCTCAGCCCGCCCTGCCTAGTACACTTCAGAAAGGAGTCACTGATCTGACGCTGCCCCACCCCCCCAACCTCTGAGAATGGAGAAGAACCCTCACTTTCTCATCTGTGCACTCGAATGCCACTGCAAGAAAGAAAGAAAGAAAGAAAAAAGAAAGAAAAAAAGAAAGAAAGAAAGAAAGAGAGAGAGAGAAAGAAACAGATCAATGAACCCAAGAGGACACACGGCTCAGCTTCTGTGGCCGGCCCGTGCCATGGCAAGGGAGGTGGTGGTGGGGGAGGGCCGCTAGTTCCAAGTCGGGTCGTATCCTGTCCAGGTCTGCGGGGGCGCCAGGTGGACACGCCGGCCACGGAACAGGAAGCTGACGATACCACGGTAGCCGGCCCTGGGGACCCCGGACTTGAGGTCGTCCATGACGCCCAGGGCCTTGGCGAAGGCCTTGAAGCTGTCCCTGCTGGTGTACTGCACGCGCACCTCACCCAGCTCCTGGCGCTCGCTGGCCCGCACAGCCTCCACCTGCAGCTGCGGGGCCCCGTAGACCCGAGCCAGGAAGTCCCGGTCGTAGGCGTCCCGCCGCAGGTAGGACAGGTCCAGCTGCGTGAAGGGCACAAAGTGCTGGTTCAGCTTGATGAACTTGAGGTGCTGGTCGAAGAACTGCCCGTGGCTAACACCACGGCGGCCAAAGGTCATGGTCCTGGACACCTCAGGCCGCAGGCAGGCGCGGCCCTGGCGCTGCTCCGGCCGCCTCATCCAGTCGTCCCAGAAGGCCTTGGGCCACTTGGGCTCCAGCTCGGCCCAGAGCTCGGCCAGCAGCAGCCAGCCCAGGCCCGGGAAGAAGTCGGTGCGGTAGAGCAGCTCGGGCCGGCCCGCGTCCACCATTTGCTCCTTGCCGTTGTCGTTCCAGGCCGACACGCACCAGAGCGAGGGGTCGGCGCGCAGCAGCGGGTAGGTGGCCTGGAAGTACTCAAAGAAGTCGGGGGCCACCTCCAGGTCGTCCTCCACCACCACGGCCGCGCGGAAGCGGCGCGCCTGGAAGACCTGGCCCAGCGCCCAGCGGTAGTGGCGCGCGATCTTGTAGTAGCCCTGGAACTTGCGGTGGTCTGGGGGCACAGGGATGGCACTGAGGTCGGGCTGGCGCAGGTGCGTGACGGCACCGCCGTAGGAGGCGATGACGCGCGCCGTCTCCTCGTGTCCGCAGTCCTGGCTGACGATGATGGGGAAGAGCTCGGCCGACGGCCGGTAGTGCAGCAGCTTGTCCAGGCAGCGGCGCACCGTGCTGCGGTCGCAGGCGATGACCAGGATGGGCAGCACGGCAGGCGGCGCGGTCTCAGGGGCGGCTGGCGGGGCCGGGCTGGGCGCCGGGCGCCGCTGCTGGCCCCAGCGCACGTGCTGCTCGTGGATCTGCCGCAGGAGGCTCCGCTGCTGCTCCAGCTCCAGCTCGGCCTCCTGGGTCAGGCGGATCAGCTCCTCGGCCAGCCCGGCCGGGTCGCCGTCCAGCGAGCCCCCGGCGGGCAGGGGGCTGGGTGGGGGGCGCGTCCAGAAGAACAGCAGCAGGAGGGCGTTCCAGGCCACAAAGAGGACGGCGCCCCACAGCACCAGGCCTGCCGACTGCTTCTTCAGCATCCTGCCCCCACCGGGGGACGCACGCCGCAGGACCCAGCCACCTGCACTGCTCCGGACGCTGCCTCCGAGTTGGCTTCAGGGAGCAGCCTGCACCTGGGTGGGAAGAAGAGAGCAGAGGAGTCAATTTAGTTCCCTCCAAGGAAAACCGGGGCAAGACTGAAGGACCCAGGACCCTTTGGGAGTGCCACGGCTTGCCCTGCATGGGCGACCTGGATTTAATCTCCGGCACCATCAAGGATCTTAGAGTCTAGTCAGGAGTATGCCCAGTACACCAATTAATTGGATGTGGCCCCAAACCCCAATTAATTAAACAAAAAGTGGCATGGTGGGGGCTGCCAGGATGCTGGCCAAGTTTCCTAAGTGTAAACTGGTCATAGCCTGTGGGTTACTCACCCCCCTAAACAAAAACCCACCCTCAAGGCCAGAACAGTCCTTGGTATTAGGATCTAGACGGGCAACAAACTTGTAAGCCCAGGGAAGAACAGAATAAAAGAGTTTAGAGTTGTTTAGATGGAAACACATAGGCAAAAGAAAACAGGAAGCTGAAACATTTTTGCTGGTTAAGGGCTCCTGCTAAGTGGCTGTGTGACACCCCCAGCCTGAAAGCTGACGCACTCATTCACTGTCATAATGCTGCTGTCAACTTAAAATCCTGCTCCTGTATTTAGAGCCAGGATGCAGCACCCATATGGAGCCAAATAAATGGTCAGCCTGTGAGACCACTGAGGGCTGACCAGGTGACCCAAAAGCTTGGACAGTCCATGTGTCTGTCTGATTCTCTGTGACCAACATTCACTGGACAAAGTGCAGAGGTGCCCATCTGGTCAGCTTTACACATACGCCTTTTAAGAAAAGCCCATGATGGGGGCCAGAGCAATAGGACAGTGGGGAAGGCGCTTGCCTTGCATGCAGCTAACTGGGTTTGATCCCTGGTATCCCAGAGCATCCTTGGAGTCCTGCCAGAAGTGATTCCTGAGTGCAGAGCCAGGAGTGAGCCCTGAGCACCACCTGGTGTGGCCCCAAAACTGAAAATTATAAAGAATGGGCAGGAGTGATAGGACAACAGGTAGGGCACCTGCCTTGCACATGGTTTGATCCCTGGCTCCCACATGGTCCCCAGAGCGCTACTAGAATTCATCCCTAAGCACAGAGCCAGGGTCAGCCCTGAATATCACTGGGTATGGCCTCAAAACAACAAAGTCAATTAGGCAGCAGATCCAGAGAAGGCTCAAAGAGCTGGATCATAGGTGTCCTGCATGTGTGAACCCCAGGTCTGAATCCTGCCAACACAGTCGCCCCGCCACCCTGCCTCCACCAAGAACCACTGGATACAGCCAAATAAATAAAACCAAAAAAATAAACTAGTGTAACTCAACAGCACTGCTCAAAGAAAACATGCGTCAGTTCCTCCATAACTTGGGTTTATTTAGAAAGGCTTACAAGGACAATTCAAATTCACATGAAACATAAATAGAAGGTTTCATAGCTAAAAAACACCAGAAGCTGAATCAAATGACAAATGCCAGCCTGAGAGGAATGTCGGCAACATATAGAACAGAGTTCATACCCTCAGAGACTTAAAACAAAGGAGGAAAAGACCAAACATTCTTTGGTTTTCTTGCATTTTGGGTGACACCCAGCAATGCTCAGGGGTTACTCCTGGCTCAGACTCAGGAATTATTATTCGTGGCAGTGCTTGGGAGACCATATGGGATGCCGGGGATTGAACCCAGGTCAGCTGCTTACATGGCAAATGCCCTACCCACTGTAACTATTGCTCCAGCCCAAGACCAAACATTCTTGTTGAAAAGTCCTGGACAACACAATGCCCAGTGCCCTGCAACCCATATGGTCCTGGAAGCATCTCCAGCAGTGGTCCCTGAGTGCTGAGCCAGGAGTAACCCCTGACCATCACTGTGCGTGACCCAAAAACTAAAAATTAAGTGGTCCTTAAGGCATATGAAAAGTTACTGAACTTTATGCATGAAAAAATGCAAGTGAAGAGATGGATTGATAGTAGAGCAGGAAGGGCACTTGCCTTGCAAGTGGCCAGCCTGGGTGTGACCCTGGCACCCCATATGGTCCTCAGAGTAGTCCTGGAATATGGCAGGTTATGGCCCAAAAAACAAAGATTTCTCACTTATCAGATGGGCAGGCATTCAAAAACTTACCATGCTCTTGGCATTATGTATAAAGGAATTTTTGCCTCACTTGAAGTCAAAGGCTTTTCTTTCCCTTTTACAGTGGGGTTTGCAATTCCATGTGAGGTAATTTTTGTGAGGAATGGAACTAATGGCCTTTTATAGAGCAGGCAAAAAACGTTCAACAGTTATCCTACAACCCAGCAAGTCCACTTCTTCATATACATATATACCCAGGGCTAGCAAGACTGCACCATATGCAGAGCCTGGGCTCAATCCCCAGCACTGCTTGTTGCCCTGAGCAGTGCTGGGAACCCCATGCTGCTGGAAGCAGCTCAAGTGCATTGCCACCCAGGACCCAGACCCTTCCCCTCACCCCACTATATATTCCCAAGAACAATGAAAGCTTACATATTTAGACCACTTTCCTTTAGACTTGTGAGATGCTAGAAACACTCTAAAGGCCTAGCAACAGGAAAATAAAAGAAAAAATGTAGTTCAGTGGGAGAATAAAATAATACTTAGGAACAATAAATAAATAAATAAGCAAGCTGGGGCTGGAGAGATAGTATAGAAGGCATTCGAGGTCACAGTGATAGTACAGTGTGGGTAGGGCCTTTGCTTTGCATGCGGCTGATCAGGGTTCAATCCCTGGCATCCCATAAGGTCCCCTGAGCACTGCCAGGACCAGGAGTAATTCCTGAGTGTAGAACCAGGAGTAACCCTTGACAATCACCAGGTGTGACCCTAAAAGACCAAACCAAAAAAAAAAAAAAAAGAAGAAAGAAAGAAAGGCACTTGCCTTGCATGCAGTTGACTTGGGCTCAATCCCTGGTGCCTCACAAGGTCCCTGAGCTTGCCAGGAGTAATCCCTGAACAGAGAGCCAGGAGTGAACCCTGAGCACTGCTAGGTGTGACCCACAAACAGGAAGAAAAGAAGGAGGGATAGAAGCAAGGGAGAGAGGGAAGGGAGAAGGGAGAGAAGGAGAAATGGTGTTTACCAGAAGTGTTGGTCTCAGGTCTAGAGGGGCAGGACTGCCTCTGGCTGACCAGCAAGCTCCCAGAGGGCAGGCAAAACCCCAAGGTGCTACATCCCTTGTCCTGACTCTAAAGAATTGGGAAAGACATTACTGGACCCCAGAAATTAGTATTCGCTGGCCCACACCCACGATCCTAAGCCTCAACAGTCCCCACCAGACCCATCATTCTAAGCCTGGTATATTTTAGTCAATCTGGATCACAGGGAATGGCCCACAAGAACCCCTGCCTTGGTTCAGCAGGCCCCTTCTCTCGCCGAGCTCACCAAGGACTCTGTCCTCAGGTCCACTACTCCTGCCAAGATACACCCCAGCACTGGAGCTGCCACTGCAGATTCTCCACACAGCCTGCAGGCAGGGCCTGGTGTGTGCAGGCCCACGGAGGCATTCCACAGTTGGCTGTGTCTGAGGGACAAGCCACCCAGTGAGTCAGCCCTGGCCAGCCAAGGCTGCAACGACCTCCAGAAAGGGATGATTTGTTTCTTTGCTTTTTTTGGAGGGCTGGGGGGATGGTGGGTGGTCGTCACACCCAACAGGAGTTCTGGGCTCACTCCTGTCAAGGTACAGGGGCCCCTATGGGATGTCGAGATCATTCCAGGCGAGCTGTATGCAAAGCAGCCCCCTCCCCACTGTATTCCCTGGTCCAGGAACCCATGTCCTGAGTCTGTCCCCCAGATAAGGCTTGGCCACCGGGAATCAGGGCACACCAGATGGCCGCCAGCCCTGTGCAGCATCACCTCCAGTATTTTCACATTTCTGGTGTGATTTTTCTCACCTCGAAGACAGGAAACTGTAATCGAATGCCTCATCTGGCTGCTGTGAGGGGAGGAGATCATGGAAACAGGCCGAGAACAGTGTGTGGCATGTGACAGCACCAACATGGCACGGTCCACCCCCAGGCTGTCATGGCTAGACCCTAGTGACTTTCTTCTGGGCCCTGAACCCCAGAGGCAGCCCCAGGACCCTGGCCAGGTCCTCTGGGTCCTGCAGGGCACAGCTTCTGACCCTGCTGAGCTCCCACGGCAGGTGTGTCCCGACCCCTCCCCTGGGAGTCTGAACAGAGGGGTGGCTACTTGTCTGTACAGCATCACCTCTTGCCCCGAACCTGCCAACTTCCCTTCGCCGCACGCTCCCTGCCGAGCAGGAACAGGCGTGGCCTGAGTCGCAGAGCAGGGTCCTAGGGATGAGGGAAACAGTGGCCTGTGACATGCAAACTGGATTCTGGGTGGATGCTGCAGATCCCAGACACCCAAAGCACAGGAAGACACAAGTTTCCTCCACTCGTTTGGCAGGAAAACCAAACCTAATCGCACTGGTGAAATCTGACCTGATTCCAACCTATTTATAGGCTTTATTTATCACACTCTGAACGCCTGTTCATACATCTTGCTACAGAAATAAACATGCCGGGTTCTGGGGTAGCTTCCTTACCTTACACTACAGGGCAATGCCCCAGTCTAACTTCTGTAAAATGCCCAATGCTGGAAACATCTTCAGCCCTCAACCATTTCAGAATAATGAAAATGGAAAAGATAAGACATACACTCACTGCCATTATATGACTTCCAGCTTCAATCCCCCCAACCTCACCTTTTCTCCTTATGAAGAGAAGGTTTGAGGGCTGGTAGACAGCAGGCAAGGCACTTGCCTTGCACATGGCCAATCCAGGTTCGATCCCTGGAACCCCATGGGTCCCCCAAGCTCCACCAGGAGTGATCCCTGAGCACCACCAGATGTGGCCCATTAAAAAAAAAAAAAAAGAAAAAGTTTTTCATGTGCCTATTGGCCATCTGCCTGTCTTCATCTGAGAAGTGTCTGCTCATTTCCTCTCCCTTGTTGATTTTTTTTCCTTCCCTGGTGGAAGGAAGTTGATAAATGAGAAGGGAAGTAGAGAGGGGGCAGGCGCCTCAGGTTC